CATATTGGACAGCCTGAGCTATAAAAATATCTGGCCAACAGGAAGGAACAACAGATTTTTCATTAACAAGGGCTTCAGCAAAGAATGTTCAACCTTACATGAGGCATTTGTCTTATCTGAAGGAGAGTGCCTCATTCTTAAGAGAGTTGTGATTTAAAATTCTTGAAACTAAGAAGATGAAACGATTGTGTCTATAATTCATCTGTTTGCAAATTCTTTACAAAATGCAATTAAGGCAGCAAATACTTACATTAATAGAAATGTTCAATATCCTCTGAGAAGATTTAAATCATGTAAATTTATTCTAGTAACATCTATTTGTATCTTCTGTTTTCAGACAAACTGAATTCACAATTTAACCTTGGCTGATTTGGAATGAAATCTTCCCCACCTCAGGTTCTGCATTGTGAAAGCTATATGACAATTTGGGCCATCGTTTGTTTGGATAGTAGTAGTAATAGTAAATGTAGTATTTACTCCATAATAAGCAGGAAATTTACAGGCATGTTTTCATCACACTCCAGTGGTGACATAATTCCTTTTCCCCCCTTTTTTCATGGTAAATTGGATGTTTGAGTGGATGTTTTGTTCTTCTTCTCCATGACTCCAAATGGTGAAGGGGACATCCACATATCTGTACTATATAGTGGAGTTTTTGTTGCTGTTTCCAGGGCTTGTTTCTCAAAGTGTTCCATGCAGAAATTTGCTATGACTGTGGTAAGAGAGCTAAGAGAAAACCTCACAGCAACCCAGTGATTCCAGTCATGAAAGCCTTCGACAACACACAAAGCAGCATTTTACTTAACAGGAACACTGACTTTCCTTTTGTATGAAGTATAACTGAACCATTTTCTGCATGTTGTTGCGAATAGATTAATGTAAATGTCTAAAACAGCCACTAGGGAGCATGCTACAGAATTTTGTCATGATTCCCACATTCAGTTAGGAAACCCCAAATGGGCTCACAGCACACAGTTTAAAAATCTTTGATTTATCAGATAGGTGACACATACACCACATTGGATGTACCTAAGTGTACACCTAAATATGCACTCAAACATTCCCTGTACCTATCATATTCTTCATGGTGCTTTTTCAAATTTCTGATGTCTTTGACATCTGTGTGCTATATGAACTTACTATTTTAATGGAGTCCATGTGCCTAGACTTCAATGCATTGTGTCTATATTTACAGTGGCCAATTCCTAAATGTTTTTTGGCATCATACTCAAACCCGCTTAAACTTTAGGCCCTTTGATTGTAGATGTCTGTTGTGATCAAATTGGATGCCTGGGACATCTGAAAGTGAAGCTAGCATAAAAAATGAAATGCTTTCACTTAACCATCCTCCTAAAGATTCCCCTCTTCTCTGGTCCTAATGGTGAAGGGTGGAGGATTCTTGGGGCAAGAATAGTGCGTTGAAAAGTGTGTGTGTATAATTTTTCCTCATTTTTTTTTAAAATGAGTGGCATAGTCTATGCAACTGTAACTGATGTTTTATGTATGACACTTAATGACATCATCAGTCTACCTTCTAGAATATTGCAGTCATCTCTGAGTTTCGGACCTGGGTCCTGAAATCCAACGGCTTGCACTAGTGCTGGCTTGGCAAGTTCATTTAAAAGGGAAAAGGAATTGTCCAATCTAGTCACAAACTCACCCAGTTCAACCATTGACAGAGTTCCTCACTAAAGCATTTAATCAGCTAACAACATTGGTTTAACTTCTACTCTATATTTTTCACATCTATATCTATTTAGACTTTTTAAAAAGATGAATGAGTCTTACTGGAGACATGACTAATGACCTTGTCACCAGAGTTGCTCCGCATCATTGGGGGGCATTGGAAACCCAGTGCCCCATTCCCTGCATCGTCTGACTTCATAAAGGGCAATCCCATGGGGGGAAGCGTCAATCATGCGGCTTCCCCCATGACTTCCTATAGCAACACAGGAAGCCTCCCATGTTGTCATGTCAGCGGCATGTGCTGGCTCTGCCCTATTTCACCCATGGAGCCCCGCCAGCATCGTTTTGATAGGAGCCGGGGGGCTCCGTGGGTGACCTGGGCTAAACCGACGTATGCCACCAATTTTAGTCCTTTGTGTTGCAGTTGTTAGTTGCAATCCTAACTGGCCAAGATATTCGAGGATCAGCTAACTAGACAGAAGCCAAACTGAAGCTCTGTTGAATCAAAACCTTCCCCATTCTAGGTATGTTTGCAACTAATTTTGTCCTGGTGTAGCTTTGCCTCAGTATCATGGTTCTGAAGTTTGGATCTCACATAATTCTTGTGTGGATTTATGCCCTATCAAGGTTTACATTTTATGAAAGCTGCATACCAATTTCTGATTAAATTTACTGTTACTTTTTTAAAGTGACTTCAGCAATGGGGAGGGAATGAGGAAGAGAACTGCATGTAATACATACCCACTTACAGAGCTTCCCAGCTTTTCTGGAGTGGAAACCAGCAAAAAGTGATCTGCATGACAAACAGTAGTGACAATTTATATTATGCTCTTGAAGGATTATAATCCACGAGTGGGGTGATAAAACTGAAAATCTAAAGATAGAAATGGAGCACGAGGCTGATAGAGAGAATGCTACAGATGTGCATGCATTAGAAATGGCACAAGGATTCCAGCAAGTCAAGTGTACACTGGGGAAAAATTTCTATCTGGTTTCCCATCAGATATGATTAACTCAAGTGGGGAATTGTTTTCTTGTGTATTGACATTAAATTTCAGAACTTCCCTTGCCATAACAGAAGTAAAGGACTGGCAGATAAGGGAAGCTGAAGTGGCAGTAGATTGGGACTACACCTGATAGCAGTAGGCTTCATTTGAGTCCAAACCTGTAGCAGGTTTTTTTGGATCTCACAGACTTCAGAGAACTATCTGAAAGGGATCCACATTTGAAAAGCAAACAAATAAGTTTCAACAAAACTCAGCAAAAATATACCCTGAGGCAGACATTAAAGTCAATAGAGCTTTTTGACTGTGCTGTCTGGCAAAGAATCCATAAGTTTAATAGCCAAGTTTGCTCAAACGATAAATAAAAGCTACTCTCAGGGTCACACAATGGTAGATGCAAAGACTAGTAGCTTCGCACTGCTAAAATCATTATGATCCAGATATAGAGGAAGAGTGAGATAAAAATTCAACACCAAACCATCAGAACATTTATTGTAAAGTGGGTGTTTTCCATTCTAGTGTTGTGTTTTGATTTTCTATTCTCAGGGTGCTTTAACAGTATCGACCTAATGCTAATATTTGAATAGAAGTACTGTTTGCCCTGAGAGAAGCATGCTGGCAGATTCTTGCAGAGGTCAAATTTTTTATTCATAGGAATTCTTCTTACAGGCTGAGTAAGTTCTTGCATGCATGTTAACATCTTTAAATTGTCAGTAACAAAAACCTCCACTAACAACACAAAACACATTTTCAGAGAGAATGACCTTTCTGACCTCCAACCGATCAAAAAGAAAATACAGCACAATGCAATGTGCAATATGTCTGAAAATATTTCTTTCTGCTATGCCGCTTCATACCATTTTGAGGCCACCCAATGTTAACGGTTCTTAGTAATATAAGCAGTAGAAATACTACTGCTGCCTGATGAAAATGCTAGCAGTTGAAATTGTTAGTTATATGCATGTTTGTCAAGATGAAAAATTGTCATTTTTTTTCATCTGGCATGTGTTTGTCTTGACCTATGCACTTGAATTAGTTCTGTATAGTAATGTGCATCAAATAACACAAGAGAAATTTCAGCTGCTGCTGCTTTCTATTTCTCCAAAGACATGCAGAGATATGTGACATGTAAATGATTCTTTGCTCTAGCCTTGCTGCCTTAAAAGAAAGCATAGTGATGGTTGAAACTGCAACAAAACTATCAAAGTGCTGACCACTGTTGTTTAGGTTCTGGGAAGTTTTAATTTCCTTGAAGTGTCAAGTTTACATTTCACAAGACGTTTAGCAAATTTATCATTTCATCATCTAAATGAAATGATGACAACTTATATTGGAAGATGAAGTCACTGTTGTATTTATAAATTGCACATTGTCTTTGGTTTAATACTTGTAAAGGGAGCCCCCGGTGGAGCAGTGGGTTAAATCGATGAGTTGCTGACCAAAAGGTTGGGGGTTCAAATCTGGGGAGCAGGGTGAGCTTCTGCTGTTAGCCCCAGTTTCTGCCAACCTAGTAGTTCAAAAACATGCAAATGTGAGTATATCAATAGATACCACTTTGGCAGAATGGTAACAACGCTCCATGCAGTCATGCCGACCACATGACCTTGGAGGCATCTACAGACAACACTGGCTCTTTGGCTTAGAAATGGAGATGAGCACCACCCCCTAGAGTCAGATACAATTAGACTAAATGTCAAGGGAAACCTTTTCCCTTTACCTTAAGCCATTCTCAAACCTCTTGGAAACTGTAGCTGCGGTCTGCTGGACGGCTCTCTTCTTTTCCCCATGAGTGGAGGATATGAGTCTCCTTTGGGGTGAGAAGAGTGGGATATAAATATAGATAATAATAATAATAATAATAATAATAATAATAATAATCAAAGAGATTTCTATCCTGTACCATGGGTTTTCCCCAGCACCAAAAAAATAAAGCATTTGAGGCTTTATAGATGTCATGAAAAACTGTATGTATATGGTTTTAAATTTTCCTAAACAATGTAAACGTATTTCCAACTGTTTTGCTTGATATCTTTAAATATAGGACAGAATATGCATGTTTTAATTAATTTACAAATCATACAAAATAGTGATCTGCAAAATGTTACAATGCTATGGAATTTATGTTACAACTGACTTGAAGACAAGCTTAGTAGCACATATATTTCAGCATTACTTCATACTAAGTCTTCTAAAATGTTTGTGAGAACCGAAACACATATTATAGTTGAAGGTATTTTTTAAGTTCATCTTTTGTCTGTCACAGGGCCTAAAAATCAGGCTTTCCCCTGTATGCTTTGTTTTTACTGACAGGTGAGTTTGGAGAAGTATGCAGTGGCCGTCTAAAACTTCCTTCCAAAAAGGAAATGTCAGTCGCAATCAAAACCTTGAAGGTTGGTTACACAGAGAAACAGAGGAGAGATTTTCTAGGAGAGGCCAGTATCATGGGACAATTTGATCACCCCAACATCATTCGGCTAGAAGGAGTTGTCACCAAAAGTAAGGACTGTTTTCTACCTAAACATATTTTAAACACAAAACTACTTGCAAATATTTGAAATACAAGTTGAAGATGCGAGCCTTCAATGCATTTAAAAGGAAAAAAAAACATTTGGAATGCTTTGTGTCATGCCTTACAGAAATATTCTGGTTTTGCTGCTTTCAACTTGCTCTTATTTGTTGCACAACAGTTTATAGTGCACCTTATCATAGGAAATGTCTCAGTTTTAGGCACTCTTGAAGTCCTTCTCTTATGCCTTCTGCTCAACATGTATAATGCTGTCATGAAAAGGCCAAGCAGGGTTTGCCTAATATGCACACACCCAAAATCCATCTTTGAACCACTTTGTGGAAAATCACTTACAAATGGCAAATGTCATCTGTTTCTGGCCAGTGATTTTTCATTAAATGTTAAGAAACTGCTCAACCTACCTGCTTGACATATAGAGAGTAATTTAAAAGTGCATGGCCTGTAGGTGATATTTAAATGTTTTATGAAAAATGCCATTTTGAGGACATATCACATCTGCTTAGCTGCCTAGGACTCAGTAGAACTTCTAACCGAGAGCACATGGACCATTAGGGAGTTCAGGATGAGTTTCAGAGTCAACAAGAATAGTTTTATTTTTTTCTTTATTTTGACCTTTTTCTTTCCCGTAGAAGGAAAATGAGAGGGTCATTCAACTAGAAATTCCTTCAGAATACACATCTAAATTTAGCTTAAGCACATACGAGTGTCAGACAAAGTTACCAAGATAATACAAACACAGCAAATACATTTCTATGTGTGGACAATTTTGAGTATGCTGTGCTTTGCAATGCTAGAAATTTGAGGACTAGAAGAAAATGTCATTTGGGAGGGTCCTTGTTTGAGAGGACAATGTTTTCATTTCCCCCCCTACCTTATTTATACATAGGTGGTGAATACTAGCCAGCAAGGAACTGACCCTGCTCTTAGACAACAAGTCATAGTTCATGAATGTGATAGTGTTACTCACGGAATGCTTACAATTAAGAACACAAGAGCACAGTAACATTTATTTTACATTTGAGGGAACAATATTTAAACTTTTTGAATAGTTCCATAAGTAAAACAGTCTTTCTGATAAACCTCTGGTAGGCTTTGCAGCTTTTGAGAATTCTATGCACTGTACACCCTCCTGTGGTGATAATGATGATAATGCTTTACAGTTGTCATTCAGTATTAGGAAATACTGGATTTAGTCTTGAAATTGATTGCTCTTAAACAGCTGCAGGCATTTTGGCTTTACATAGAAAACCATACTGCACATTACCTCATGGTGTCAGCATCTGGCAAATGTTTGAATAGCCACAACCAGACAGCCAAAAAAGAAAAATTATGTAGTTGTAGTAGTTGGCTTGCATAATTACATGAATCTCAATATGTATTTGAAAAGACATAATAGTTGAAAGCAAGAGTGTGACAGAGTTACTCTGCTAGCTAATAAATGACCTATAACAATATATATTGGTTTATAGCAGAAAGGTGATTTTCTTAGAGAAATTGCTATAACTTTGCTGAAATGCAAAACATGTTTTTAAATATTTCAGTTTGGAGTTATAACCTATTCTAAATAAATATTTCACTAAAGATGTTACGAACATATTAATTTTAATAAGAATGCCCCTATTTGTTGTTCACCAAAATAAAAAGTAGGAAGGCTATCATTTGAACACTAAATGTGAATTCTGGTCAATGTAGCTAAAATAGTTATATTTTCTTACTATGTGGTTGTAGTTAGATCTGGTTTCTTCAGTAGTCCTTCACAAAATTTTGCTTTTATTCCATTCCATCCCAGCAATTCTCTTGTTCTCCTTGAAAATAGACCAATGTATCAGTTTCCTTTTCTCCACCACCCAGTTTCTCCATTATTCCATTTTTTAAAAATCAGAACAAAACATCTAATTATTTCTGCTCATTTATAAATAAATATGAGGTTCTTGTCCACTCTTCATTTTTTAAAAACAGCCAAACAACAAAAAATACCTCATCAATCTCCACTACCAACATTCAGAAGGTCACTTTATATATTTATAGATATAGTATCGTAATACATTTGTTGAAGAAAGAAATCTTTTTTTAAAAAAAATGGCAATCCTAATTCTGCACCATGAGCATGGTCGAAGAAAAAGATCCATTGCATGACTTTAAAATGTGAAGCAATGAAAACCCTATCTTTAAATGAACCAAATTGTTCTTCCCCTTCCCCCATTTTACTACATATAAATGTTTAAAATCTCAAGTTCTTTGAGGGGTGAGGGGGGTCCTGTTTAAAACGTGAACTGAATCGTGAACTGAATCAAATTCTTATCTGACCTTCTTCTACTGTGGTGGTCCAATGGGTTAACACCTTGTGCCAGCAGGACTGCTGACCGACAGGATGATTGTTCAAATCTGAGGAGCAGGCTGAGCTCCTGGGCTTTCCACAGAAGTTGGGCTCAGCTGGACTTTCCACAGAAGTTGAGGAAGCAGGAACCCATTTTGTTTCCTTCTGCTTCAGGATAAGCTTTGTTTAAATTTAACTGCTTTGTCAGTGCTGCTTTGTTTGAGAGGCGGGGCTTCCTGAGTTTAAAAATTAACTGCTTTGTTTGAGAGGAGCTTCCTGAGTTTAAAATTAACTGCTTTGTTTGAGAGGAGGGGCTTCCTGAGTTTAAAAATTAACTGCTTTGTTTGAGAGGAGAGGCTTCCTGAGTTTATAATTAACTGCTTTGTTTGAGAGGAGAGGCTTCCTGAGTTTATAATTAACTGCTTTGTTTGAGAGGAGGGGCTTCCTGAGTTTAAAATTAACTGCTTTGTTTGAGAGGAGGGGCTTTCTGAGTTTAAAAATTAACTGCTTTGTTTGAGAGGCGGGGCTTCCTGGTTATCCTATATAAACCAGTCTCTGAACCCAAGGGGCAGCTGGGCTTTCCACAGAAGTTGAGGAAGCAGGAACCCATTTTGTTTCCTTCTGCTTCAGGATAAGCTTTGTTTAAATTTAACTGCTTTCAGTGCTGCTTATTTGAGAGGAGGGGCTTCCTGAGTTAAAAAATTAACTGCTTCGTACACTCAGTAACCTATACTTTCACCCCTGCATACAGACAACTTCAAACACACACCAAGAGAAGGTCATTAGCAACCTCCAGATGGAACAAACACAAAAACTTCCCGTCTCATGCACAAGCTGTGGCATGTTCAGCTTTTTCACACTACAATTACTCAATTACAGCTGCCCCAAGTGTACACAGATCACTCGCATGGAACACAGGATACGACAACTCGAGGACCGTATTAACACCCTTAAGGACATTCAGGAACTTGAGCTGTTCTTAGACACCACACACCACACTGTCCTAGACACGTAGCCCATATCACACCAACATTACGGGGAGGCTCAAGAGAACAGCACCTCAGATGTGGACAACCCTCAGGCTTGGAGAAATGTCACCCTTAGAAGGACACATAGGACCCGGAAGCCTCCTCAGAATACTTCCGCTCAGCTGCAATTACACAATAGATTCCAAATTCTCACACAACTATCACCTGACCAAGAAACACAACATATTGGGGAAGACCAGAATGGCTTAGATACTGATCAGTGGCTCATCCTTGATCAGTGTGCAGGGATAGCCCTGACTGGGACAACACTTCACAACATTCACACTTGCACAATCGTGCAGGTGTACCATCCCCAACCATAGACCAGGTGCAACAGGAAAACATACAGGAGAACCATAGGCTCTTGGACGAATAAACACATACAGGAGAACCATAGGCTCTTGGACGAATCTCAATGGATTGTCCTTGACGAATGCACCGGGGATGTCGAGGAGGAGGACAACACTTTTCACCTACACAATTCACACCAACAGGATCACTTTTCTGGAGACCTACACACTACATTGCACAAAAGGGGCCCTGTCATTCGAAAGTAAACAGGTCTTGGTAGTAGGCGACTCCCTCCTTAGAGGAACGGAAGCTGTCATTTCCAGACCGGATGGGATGGCTCGAGAAATATGCTGCCTACCGGGGGCAAAAATACACCATATCACTCAGAGGCTCACCAGGCTCCTCAAGCCCTATCACCGTCCTCCCCTCATGTTGATTCATGTAGGAACCAATGATACTGCAAGGCATACGTTTCAAAAGATCACAAACGATTTTCGAGCTCTAGGAGCAAAGCTAAAAGAATGTAATGTACAGGTGGTCTTTTCATCCCTCCTCCCTGTTGTAAGACAGGGACCCACAAGAGCCAGAAAAATAGTACAGGTCAATAACTGGCTTAGAAAATGGTGTCAGGAGGAACGTTGGCTTCCTCGACCATGGCCTGCTTTTCCAGGAGGATGGCCTACTGGCAAGGGATGGGGTGCATCTCACATAAGTAGGAAAACACCTTTTTGCTCACAGACTCGCAAACCTCATTAGACGCACTTTAAACTAGGTCCACCGGGGGAGGGGGACAACAGCCTTGCGAACACTACTTTACCCACAATGTCAGGGAACTGCCAGAAGGCTAAATGGAGGGCTGCACAAACACAACAAGGACCAAGTACCAAAAGCACAATAATCCCAAATAAACAGCTCAAGGGAAGATCCCAGGGGCTCACATGTCTTTACACTAATGCACAGAGCATGGGAAATAAACAAGACGAACTCCAACTTTTAGCACAACACCACAAATATGATATCATAGGCATCACTGAAACCTGGTGGGATGACTCCTATCGCTGGAATGTAGACATCGAGGGCTATAACCTCTTTCACAGAAACCGAACAAAGGGGAGAGGAGGCGGAGTAGCCTTATATGTCAAAAACTCTTATGCTGCAGAAGAGATTCAAGACAGCAATCTGGGAAACCAGCTTGAAATCATCTGGATAAGAATCAAGGGAACTGGGACTCAAAAAGATGTCGTTGTAGGCGTCTACTACAGACCCCCAAGCCAGAAGGAAGAACTTGATGAAGTCTTCTGCCAACAGTTGACCAAACAGGCACAGAGAAGAG